TCACGGTCAGCTTTTGCTAAATGCAGTGCACTTTGGAACAAAACCAGCAGGTCAACCTTGGCTTTTGAAACTGTGGAACATGAGTGCAAACTGCAGTTTCTGCGACCAAATCAGACACGGTGGAACTCACTGTTTTTAGCTGTAGAAAGGTTGGTGCGTATTCAGAGAGAACAAGGAGAACAAGCAATCAGAAATATATGCACAACATTAAAGATAAAAATGTAAGTTGTAAAACCGGGTAGGATTTGTTGGTTTGTTGGGAGTGTTTATTTTCACCCAGCTTATCTACATTTATTGTTATTATTAACCACTTGTGTTTTATGGTACAGGCTGAATACAGCTGAGTTGGGATTTCTGGCGGAGTACGCTACTGTAATGAAGCCAGTTGCAATGGCTCTCAACTTACTCCAAGGGGAATCATCAGTTCATATGGGTTTTCTGCTGCCAACACTTTATCAACTGCAGGACAAGCTGAAGAAGCTGGAGTCATCATGTAAAGTGTGCCAACCCCTCCTTAAGGCCTTACATGGAGGTATTCTCAAACATTTCGGAGAGGTCATGAAGGAACCAGAGCTTATTGCTGCAGCTATACTGCTTCCAAAGTTCAGAACTGCCTGGACAACAAACCAAAGCATCTTGACAACAGGTAATGTATCTGTCAATTCATGTGTCAATTTAAATGTTATTTATTTAACCTTGAGATAAGATCTTCTCTCTATTTTTGTTTAATTAATAGTGAGTTACAGTGTAAAAAGTTATAAGGTCTGGACTGGTAGTGTGAATAAAATATAGGACATATATTGTAAAATGTAGGATTATGAAGGTAAAGTGTCTAAATCTGTCTCGGCACAGGGCTAGACTACATAAAAGGTCAACTGGAGAACAGTGTGGAAAATGATGCCCTCTGCTACAGCAGCCCTTCAGATGAAGAGGACTTCTTTGCATCTATGAACACAGGGCAGTCAAAGACAGGAGAGCTGGAGAGGTACCTTTCATGTTCATCAGCTGGAGGTATGGATCTGTTACACTCCTTTCCAAAAGTCAAGAATTTGTCTCTAAAAGTAAACACAGCCATCCCAGCATCTGCAGCCTGTGAGAGACTTTTTAGTCATGCCGGACTCCTGCTCACAGCTAAAAGATCAAGACTGCATTGCAAATATCTTGAGAGCCAATTACTGCTGAAGTTCAACAGCAAAATTCTGTAAAACTGATTGATTGTTCAAGAAAGAACAAATGACAAAATAAACATTTACATACTGAAACGCAAACACACATAAACAAGTTCATACACAAACATAATAACAAACACATACTCTGCACACACACTTTCTCTTTTGTTCTCTGTTAGCTTGTTTAAATGCAGATGCTGATAAATTTTGTGTTGTGAATGTGAAAATAAAGACAGAGCTAACAGTTAGAAAAACATCTGGGTGTGTTTGAAATTTTATTGCAAATGACAGTTTATGTGATGTTAATGTGCCCATCACAGGACTGAGATAGGCTACTTTACTTCAGCCTATGTTTTATATAAACAAAACAAAGAAACTTTCAAGGAGAGGTGTGTGGAAGCTTTCCAAATAGTTTGAAATTCAAGGTTTTCGCTTCATATCAATCAGATCAGCAGTAACTAGTAACTAGCTACTTGAGTAGTTTTTCCATCGGATACTTTTTTAATCTTACTCAAGTAACTATTGGGATTGTTACTTTTACTCTTACTTCAGTAAATATTTCCATAAGTACTTTTACTTTTACTTGAGTACAGATTTTGGGTACTCTACCCACCTCTGCCTGCCTGCTTTTGTTGGCTGCAGTGGTATTGGACTTTCTTTACAGTGTTGATTTAAACTCCTCATAACCTTGTATAATTAGCATGCAGTCTTCCTCCGTGAAACATATGGAGATCGCGCTACGAGTCAAACGGTGCCTTGCGTTGCCGAACGTGCTCCATTTATGTGAACGCGCACAAACTCCAATGCAGTTAACTGGCGTCGTAGTACTGATTAGCCCAGATGGAGTCAACCTGATTTTGTCAACCTCGGGGTTAAGTCTGATTTGGTTAAACCCCCTTCGTAGTACAGGCCACTGGAGACATGACTCTGCCTTTCTTGGTACACGAACCTGTTTACCAACAGCAACACCTGCATGCTCTTGGCCCCTCCATGCCACACTTGCACAAATTTTCATTATGAATCCATTCCATTCAGCTGTTCTGTAGTACTTTTTAAGTATCCAAGTTATCAGGAATGCATCAATACATTGCAATGTGCAATACTACTAATAATGAACAATATATATATTAGTGCTGTCAAACTAAAAAATTTTAATCAGATTAATCACAGGGTTGCTGTGGATTAATTTAGATTAATCATGATTAAATATCATTCATTTTTAATCTATATTAATCACATTTCATTTTGCATGAGCAAACAGACTCAAGAAAAAAGGGAATATATATGCACTTAACATGTTTATTGAACATCTTGAACATGATTGATGCATTCCATCTGCCACAGAAGTGCAATACCATGGACCCATATCAAAAAGCAAGATTTTTTGCTTAGGCGGACAACTTGTCGGATTTAAGGTACCTCAGTTTAAATGGTCTTTATCTTCATTCACTTACAATTAGCCCGAACTACCATAAATCCGACAAATAATCCGATATCATGAAATCCAATTGTAGCCCGGTTAATTGCCATTGTTAGCAATATCAGTTGATAACACATTACGCATGGTGCTTTACGTATAAAACTCCGTAGCAACACGTCCACAGATAACTTGGACGGTATAGTGCGTGCGACCGATTTAACGAGCCACAAATGAGAAGTAGTGCTTAAATACGGATCGGAAATACTCCCGTATTTACTTACCCGCTCCCCGCTCGGGCAGCGAACGTAACAACACAGAGGTGAAAACATAATTTAAACTATTGATTATATTAATAATTGAGTAATCTACCGCTTAATTTGATAATTAATTATGCAATCATTCATATAATATACATACATTACAATTTGCAAATAGAGGGAGGCAGGAACCAACCATGGATGATTCCAACCCATCACAGGGTGAACACTCGCTCACTCACACATGCAGTCAATTCAGGCACTCCAGTTCACTCAAGTTGCATGCTTTTAGACTGTGGGAGTAAAACAGAGAATCCAGCAAAAACACACAGAGAGACCATGCAAACTCTGCACACAGAAGGTAGTGGTATGTGATGGCAGCATTACTCACTGTGCCACCATGCCCCCCTCAATATTACAGCTGCATGATTTGCAGTGTTACTATTAACATTGCATATTGCGCACATGCGCAAGGACTGTAATAGTTAGCTCAATTATTTATGGTAAAACATTTTTACATTTTTATAGGAAACTGTAGCAAGCTTTGCAATTTTACTGATGGCTTGTTTACATTGTCTAGTGTATGTTTTAAAAAATCAGTCTAAAATTTACTGACACTCTATTTGCATGAACTGTGCTCTCTGAGACATTCATAGTCATTCTTGTCTTTGCTATTTGACTCACTCTAGACAGAAATCTAACAAAAATGAGTGAGGAGGAGAAAGTTACCAATAACTGGTCGACAAAAGACATTCATCTTCTGCTGAATGGAAATATTTGATGTTGAGTGAAAGCAAGTGATAGAAGTTCTATTTGAGTATAGTTGATTTTGGGTAATTTTTCCACTCCTTTGTTTTATAAACATCACAATATTTAGCACAAAAATTATAAATATCACAATGTAACCTTTCTACTATTATACTATTGTTCAATCCTACTCAATAC